TATATATATATATATATATATATATATATATATATATATATATATATATATATATATATATATATATATATATATATATATATATATATATATATATATATATATATATATATATATATATATATATATATATATATATATATATATATATTGGTTTCTTTTTGTTTTTAAAAAGAACGAAGAACATTTATCTATGTGATGGCAACAGTTTTCTCTTGAATTGAAAAAATTATTCTTTTTAAAATTATTCAATTCATCACATTAAAATAGGTTCTGAAGCTATTTATTTGTTATGTACATTAGTTTTTTATTTTGCTTGTCAGGTAGGGTGGGTTTTATTTTCTTTAAGGAGATTTGTAGAACTTCCCCCCGTTTTATTGACATAAATAAGTGTAGTGAAAACATTATGCGGATTTTTTTGTTACAGCTACTCACTCTTCCACATGGAAATAAAATTTGTTATTTTTATTGATGTAGTATGATTTTAATTGATATATCTAGCTGAATTTTGTTTGATAATTTATTTCTGAATAACATTCAAAAATAAGATTTACTAAAGAAATTCATTTCTAATTTTATATTATTACCATTTGTCAGAAGCATAATAGCGCGAAATTTTTCACAAAAGTACGTATTATCGTGTTTTCATAACAAATGTATTCTGGGTTGAAATATACTGAACAATCGACTAGATAAGTTTAGATTTATCACGATCTCATTAGATTTTTTGTTTCTATCAAATTTTCTTGATCTGACGTCGCTAAGTTAGTTTCACTATTCTGTCTTAACTAACGTTCCTTTGGTCGTTTTGTTAACAATTTTTTTTTTTAACGTTACATTTTTCAGTGGTTATAAGCAATTAGTAAAAATCGCATTTATTGTCTTATCTCTTTATTTTCTCACTATTTTCTGCCTACTGATTTAATATTTATATATTTTTTTATCTCTGGCTAATTATTTTTTAATTACTCTGTCTGTTTTTTTTAGAGATAAGTTAATGGGCAAAAAATTTTTTTGGCTTTAGTCGGCAAAAAACAGACACGGCACCCCTTCCCTCATCCTTTAAAATATCTTCGAGATGGCCCTGCATACTATTAGAGTTACCACATTTTCAATCATATTTTCGAATAACTACTTTCGTACTAACAACAAAATATCTCAATTTAGTATTAATGTTAATGAGTTGTATTTACTGATTATATTTATTATATTAAAAGAAACAGTAAGTAACTCTTAATTATTATTTAATATTTTCTATTCGCTTTGTTTTATTTCTACACATTAAAATTGTTTGTTTTAATACATGCGCATACGTGCATGTGTACAAGTTTGTCTCTTCTAAAGTAAGTGTACATTATATTTATATGTGTTTACATATTTATTTATGGTCACGCCACGTGCATCTCTCGCCACCCTCACGAGATCTCTAAGAATGTTGGAGCTGTATTAAAAACTGGGAATGGAATATTGACTTGCATGACGTAGAGTACAAGCGGTGAGATCTGTTGCAAAGAAACGCCCCTGACAAGTGGCGTTAGTGCAAGTCTCGGGCTCTCCGAAACGTTATTGGTAATCGCAGTGCATTTCTGAGGAGGGGGATCACCATTCTTCCACTATTTAATTCTAATTGGTTATTATGACACAAATATTTTTTTACCTTTTACACCCATAAATTTTTGCCCTTTACGAATTTTCTACTTAACGACATTTATATATATTTATGTTACACAGGTGATTATCAGTTTTCAATTCATTATCTAGAGTTTAGACCATATATAGTATCACATTTATTAGACTTTTTTTATATATATATTCATCAAACTATTATTTATTATCATTTTATAAAATATTTTGTTATCTACTTATTTTATTGTTTTAGCCTGGTGTGACTATTTTAGTAATGGATACCATTAACAAACTAGCGGATTTATATTGACTTGTTTACTCATAGATCATTGTTTTAACATTTGCTAAAGATGAGTAGAGTGTGAGTTATGGTTCCTCTTTTTGATCGGTCGGTAACTTTCACTTCTCCTACTAAATGGTCCTTACATTAATTTATGTTTTTTTACTTAAATGACATCATCTGCAATCTGTTTTTATTTTCACATCTCCCAGGTCTACGTAACTGGACAGCTCCGTTGGTCATTTTTTGCCATCTTTTTTCCAATGACCAAAAATTATTCTTTGTGACTGGTGAGCCCCAACTTTTCCTAATGTACACCACAACGACAAAACAGACGTTAGGGTATCCAGCTGGATATGGTTACGGCGCTCAACAACTTAATAACTACGCTAACACTCACACGTTCAGCATGTAGCTCCACAATGCCCGTTGGATCAGCGCTTGCTGACTATGTGCTCGGATCTAAAATCTAACTTCATAGCACATCATTCCACACCAGCACGGGGCAGTAGCTCTTTTGGCTAAGAGTGCTGGCTTGTGGCATTCAGTGACTAATTTGTGCGTTCGATCAATTAAAATTCATTCTGTAGGTCTTACGTCTGGCTCTGATGTGTTAGCCCACAAGCACAAGAAGTGAGTGTGTTTAGCTTTCTATTCACCCAATTTGAAAGTGATCTAAAACATAACGAGAGTCTCGTTACGAGACCATACTAGACGAAAAAAAGAAACATACTAATGCACTACATCAACTACCTGTAGACATCAAGTCTTTAAAATCAGAGGGCCAAATATTTTTTCCTTATTGCATATGTTCAACACACAGAGTTACTTAAGCTTTAGTTGTACCCCCATGCTCCCTTAGCGTCCGTTCTTTGCTCTTGTACTACACAAAAGTCTTGTCGCATATTTTATATTTTCTTATGATTTTTATTTTTTATTCAACGACCATCTACAATCTGTTTTTGATTTCACATCTCCTAGATCTACGTAACTGGATGGCTCCGTTGGTCACTTTTTGCAATTTTGTGTCGCATAAACAAAAAAAACTGTACCATCAGCAGAAAGATCATTCAGCAAACTGGCAAATAAATTGAAATCATGGCGAAGAAGCACAACCTGTCAAGATTGCTTTAATCATCTTGCCATATTGAAAATAACTTAGCAAAAAGAGCTAATTTCAGTGATGTCATTAATAAGTTTACTAAGGGAAAAACCTGAAAATGTCAATTAAGATAATATTTGTAATTTTTATATTGCCAATGTTATTAAATATATTCTTTTTTAAATAAATATTGAAAACTTTTTTTTAGTTTTATTTTATCATTAAGACAGTCTTTAAGTTTCTTTTACTATCATCAAGACAGTATTATTATAGATCGTAAATTTTAGTTCTAATCGAATAAACAGGCCAAACTTATGGTACACTATCAATATAATTTCTTTTTTAAAATAACAATTTTAAATGATCTGCTAATACTCAATTTAAGAAGACCAAACTGATTACCTGGAATCAATTTGATTACCGGTATGAATGCTTTAGTTAATCACTGTATTTTGTGATCTCCTTACACACAAGTCTTTGTACAGACATAATACTGATTTATAAACTAAGAATGGTACCGGTATTGTTGACATCTTACCGACTATGTAATTAATTTTTATGTTGTTACCAACCAATGTTAAAGGGCGTTTATCAGCAATGTTAAAGGGTGTTTAGCCTGCAAATTATATTCTATTTACCTTGATCACCTGAAAATATAATTTTGTCAAAATTCCACAAAGTAATATTTTCTTTTTTTTTATTTGTTCTACTGCAAGATACAATTGCTCTCCATTGTAAGCGTTTTATGAATGTAAGTACAAGTTATTTTTGTTTTAACATTTCTTAGATAGATTGCAAAAGCAACCATATTTATTTAAGTTTTTTTTAATTATTAATTAATTTATCCGCGCTCATTTTAATGCATAAGTGCAAGCAAACAGCATGTTTACTCTTCCCCCAAAATACGTTTATCTTGGTTTTTTGCTTATCATTTTTTTTCGAGACAAGTTCAATTTTGAAAAGAGAACCTTGATCGTCATAAAATTTTCTACAATACAGGTTTGTTAGTTTAGTAGAATTTTGTTTTGGTTTTGGGAGTTTTGATAATGGGTTGTTTTTTTTTAAACTTTTTTTTAAAAAAAACAACCCATTATCAAAACTCCCAAAACCAAGTCAAATTTCTAATCAACCTTAAGACGTAAAACAATTATTACACCTTTAGATAAAGCACAAAATTCTATACTATAAGATTCCCCGCATTTTAAAAGTTTTTTTGTTTTAGCTGTCAATAAATGCAAAAGAAACAAAATTGATTAACTATTTAATTTTTTTGTTTACTCTTATTATTAAATAAAATGCATTTTGCACCAATAAACTGTGCAAAGGTTAATTAAATAAAGAATTTAACTTTTATTAATTATTTAACAATTAAATTCTCAAAGAAATTTATTTTATTAATAATTGGATGCCTTTTTTTTGCTTGCTGTATACAATGAAAATTGAAAAAAAAGAAGTTTTTAAAAAATTTCTTTTTGTGTTCATTTTATTATTTACATATTATACCAAAAAGTAAAATAATTTTCTAGTATTTTTTAAAGAATAATGCATAAGGGGTTGTCCGTAAATTACGTCACGCAATAGTTTACCATTTTACAACCCTCCCCACCTTCCCTTGTCACAACATCGTAACTCTTCAGTAAAAAGTCCAGTATGAATCGTTACAAAATCACTTTTGCTTCTTACTCCACCCCTTAGCCATAGTGCTTAACAGAACTTAATGACGACCCCTAAATAATAAAATGAACAAAATCAAATATTCCTTAATTTAAAAAAACTTGGAATTTACATGCTCAATATTTTTTTTATAACCGAACAGACTGTTGAAATGCTAGATTGTCCGGTACAAGACCGGTGATCTGGCAACTCTATTTAAAACTATTGATATCTAAAACTTTTCAATATTTTTTTACCACTTTAACTTTTTCCTAAAAAAAATCTTCCGAAATTTATAACTTTAGTTATAACATTAGTTAGTCAAAAATATTTTCTTACCTTGCTGTAAATGATAACTCGTTTTTAAACCTTTTACTCAATCCACCAAATAAACTTAGTTTTCTATCACCAATCGAGTCAAGTGAAAATTGCGCTGATAAACTATTAAACAAACTAGGTGGGTCGACATTTTGATTATAAATGTTTATGCTTAAATTAAAGGTCACCTAGATAGAAATAAAATTAATTACAATTTTATTTATTGGAAAAAGCTTATTTCTAAAATTAAATACCAGTACAAGTACTCATAATTTATCAAAGCAGAAAAATATACTTAGTGATTAGAGTGTTGATTTCTGAACAAATGAGTCAAAAGTTTGACTGAAAGAGTGAAAGGTTTGATGCTCGTTCTGTAGACAGCACAAAAATTCCTTTCACCTGTAAAATTAATGGAGGGATGGGGAGTGGATTTCTTAAATGTCTCAACATTTTATATATATATGTGTCTCAACATCTTCTTATAGCAAATAAAGTTAATACAAAAAATAATCAAGAAAGTTTCAAAAACATTACATACGCGTAACTCACACAAAAGAAATTCCTATTCGTTTCTCATTCAGTTTCCTTAAAACATAAAATAAAGCTTTATGGTTGCTTTCACACTTTTAACCCACGATTACGAAATGAATTGCAAGAAAATGCTGCCGTTATAGAGCATAGTTGCTGTTTAACTGTACCACATTCGTATAACTAATTTTTTATTGGTTATTTTTAAAGTTTTATTACTGTTATTATTATAGTTATAATTATTTTGGTTATTATTTTTTTTATTATTATTTGTATATTTGATATACATTTTGTTTATTTGCTTTATTTATTTATTCAAATTTCATGCTACAACTTGCTATACAATGCTTTTATATCCAACAATATTGTTGACTTAGCATAGAAACATCCTTAATTAGTATGACTGTTTGAGGCTGTTTCTAAGTCAACAATATCGTCAGATACTATTCCAAAATAACGCCCATTTTTGCGTACCGTAAGTACAATAACGGACGCAAAAATAACGTAGGGTGACTGGATTTGTACGGTGCACAGTGGGCCAGTAGGTGGACAAAATAAGAAAAAATGTCGTTGTCCAATCTTGAAAACTTATTTAATTTTAGTATCTACATATATTAGGAGAAATTTATTGATAATTTATCTATAATAAATTCGCGTAGTTACCAGGACTCTAAGCATTTGAATATTGAAATAAAAAAAAAAAAAAATTTAAATAAGTAATTTACGGTGACATTAACGCTGTGATATATTTCAACTACATCTACGTTTTTGAAACAAATAATTAGTACCTGTTATTCTAGAGTATTTTGAGATAAGAAAAACCAATGTGTGAAATAAATATTTCATAGATGTTATCTCAGCTATACTTTAAAATCACAGATTAAAAAAAAAATCTTCATGAAAATTATTTTTTTTCGCACTATAGCTATTAATTACCATATTTTGCCATGTGCTGTCTTATATTTATTTAAGCTATATGATGCTTCAATTAAGTTTTAACTGATTGCTCGTTCCCTTAGATCTCTGTTCCATATTTTATATATTTTTTTATAACTTGGTTGTTATGGTACTGAATTTTGCATAGAAACAGCTTATTTTTACATTAACGTTGTTTTAGCAGTATTTTATCTGCGCTAAGTACATAATATTGGGAGTATGTATTAAAATGAGATTCATAATTCTTATGAGGTTTTTTTTTTGGCGTGTATCTTGTTTAATTGAATCCCATTTATGCATTGAATTATATTTTGCTGTTAATAAAAAATTTAGAGATGAATCTATTGTTAGTGCTTCCAAAAACTTTTTAAATATTTCAAATACAGATAAAGCAACTTTATGTTCAGCAGATGAAGCTCTGGCTTTAATAATTGATGCCAGTCTGACAAAAGCTTCCTATTAATTGATTAGAAACGGAGCCTCGGAGAAAGAATATATACCCTCTTCCCCGCTTACAATGATGTCAGAGATGCAAAATTAAAATGTTATCCTGCAAATATAACAGTGAAGGTCTATTTATCTTCAGTTCCTTTAAAAGATTTAATGATTCATACTTTGCAAAGAATCTGTGCAGTTCAGGAACCTGTGTTGAGGCACTTGATAATGAACGACAAAGCAATAAAAACAATGGCACTTACGTGTAAGGCTGGTTTTGATGGTGCTACTGGCCAAAGCATGAACAGAGATTTAAAGTGTGAAGAATTATTATTTATAACTTGTCTAGCCCCATTGGATTTGACTGGATTTAATAACAGTAACGAAAAGGTGCCTATTTGGAGAATTCAAAAGGTGTCATCCAGAGACTCATAAGATTTGCTTGCAAAACGAAATCCGAGGAATCTGTGATTGAAGAAAATCAGTACATTAAAAGTGAGATAGAAAGCATGGAAATAATTTTATTAGAGGTTTGCGGTTCTTTTATTGAAGTGAATTTTATTATTGAACTTACAATGATTGATGGGAAAGTTCAAACGATATTATCTGAAAAAACTAACTCATACCGATGCTGTTCAATGTGTGGTGTCTCTCCAAAAATATGAATAGTCTTGATTTCCTCAATATAGATTAAACTAACAGAGAGTTCAAGTATGGTCTTTCCATTCTTCATGCATGGATTCATTTTTTTGAGATAGTTTTGCACATTGTATATAAAAAAAACAAGAAAGTGGCAAGCAAGATCTAAAGAACACAAAGAAAAGGCGTATTTAGCTAAACAAAAGATTCAGACTGATTTTATGAACAATATGAGACTTGTTAATGATTTAAAGTGGTGGTTCTGGAATAAGCAATGACGACAATACCTCAAGGCGTGCTTTTTTAGCATATGAGCAAACAGCTAAAATTCGGGGTATTGATCAAAACCTTATATTCAGATTTTACATTTTCTTGATAACACTCTCATAAGGATATGAAATAGACAGCTTAAAATACAAGGAATATTGCTTTGACGCTGTTAGACTATATGTGTCTTTTTATCCATGGTATTACATGGCTCAATCAGTTCACAAAGTATTGATACATAGACATGACATGATTAAAAACCTTCCATTACCCATCGGACTTATGTCAGAGGAAGCTTAAGAGGTTAGAAATAAAGACTTCAAATCTTATCGCGAAAGTTTCAGCCAAAAACATCCAGACAAGCAACAAATACTGATCTTATCAATAGACTCCTAGTTTCCAGTGATCCTTTTATTTCATCACTGCGTAAATCAACGTCACATCAAAGAAATCATAAAGCATTTCCTTCAGATGTTTTACAATTACTTAAACAATCTTTAGACGATGTTATTGTTTTATAATTTTTTAATGTAATTTAAAATTGACAATATTTTCTTGCACTATTTTTTTGTTTTTATTATAGCAAAAACATTATTAACATAAAAAATCAATTGTTATTCATTATAGGTGGGTCGAAAATCCGATAGAGTATTCAAATATCTACTTACATCTTTGTAACTAAGGAAAGTATCTGGTAATTAAGCAATATAAGTATCCATAGTAACTAAATTAAAAAAATTCTCACTTTTATAATAAGTGTGATCTCATATTGGTAATCATACCAAATTTAGGGAATAAAGCACTCATAAAATATCTGCAGATAACAAAAATAGGTTGTTGCTAAGCAAAATAAAGGTATCCATAGCAACAAAATAAAAATACATACCTTCATAAAAAGCGCAGGCATCATATAAGTACTCATGCTAATTTTAGTGATTATAGCTCGAATATTTCATTAGTTATGAATTTTGTCCAGTAAAAATGAATTCTGGCCCACTGTGCGGTGACTGGACTTGAACTCATATTGCACAACAGTCCAGGTTTCAACATTTTGTTTGACGCTTTAACTAACTAACCCAAACAGCATTTTTTCTTTTTAAAGTTACGTAATTTTTATTAGTATTAATATTATTATTATTAATTATATGTGTATTAAGTTTTGTGTTTTTGGTGTTTACTTAAGGTTAATAGATTTACTTTAATTATCACTTTATTACTATTAAAGAATAGTAAAATTAGTATTTGTATCCATGAAAAATTTTTTAGAACTTATATCATTACAAATGAGTTTTCTGAAAAATCAAGTGATGAGTGTTCTGAGAATTAAAATCATGAGTTATTGAGTAACATCATGTATGTTTGTTTTTTAAATACTTTTTATATCCCAGGCCCGTAGCAACAAAAATTATATTGAGGGAGGGGGGCGCTGGATTAGAGGCCCCGAAATAGTTTTAAGGACTTTTTTTTTCAGTCATTTTTTAAGTTATTTTTTTCAAAATTATTTAATTTAAAAATTATTTAAGGGGGGAAGGGGGAAGGGGGAATGCCCCTGGTACCGTTATATTGAGTATACAGTTAATTCCCGGTAACTCGAACCTCCAAGGGACCAAGGAAAATGGTTCGACCGTTAAGTCGAACTTTGACAGAAATGAGATTTATTTTGAGTTAAGGCGATTTTTATTTATTCAATGCTAAAGTATAAACATTAAATATACACTATTTTATTAAAGTTCAGTGAAAAAACCTATTTATATTTGCTTGTATTAGCTTCTCTAATAATTCTTTTTCCACAATTAAGTTTATTTGGTTTATACATCTCCCCATTGTCACTGAATATGTGTTGTAGTTTTAATGTGCGTCAATAATTTGTCAATAGTTAGCTTTTCTAATTATTGACAAAAGTCACACGTTGCATACTTTTAGTATTATAACGTTTTGTATAACGACCACTAACTGTTGACAAGAGTCACAACTTGAATTTTTAAATACTATATATAGTGAACAATTTTTTTGTAAAAACGTTGAGATTGTTGATAAGTAATAAAAATATTAAAAACAAAATGGCTTCTAAATGCGTTGAACAACAAACTAACCGAGCATGTCTATTATCTCCGCAATATGAAGATGGACAGCCAAATCAATTTATTCGGGAGTTGACTTCTTTTTTTGTGATGAACTATTTTATTTCTGGTCGACACGTAGCGTACTTGCTCGCTACTCTGCCGTCAAAGATTTGCAAGACCATGGAGGAATTAACAGCACCTGAACTGCCTAAGGACGTTTCGTACGAAGAGTTGGTGACGAAACTGAAAACGTTGGAAATTAGAAAATCATTGTTAATCTTACGGCATGAATTTGGGAAAACTTATCGTGGCGATGAAGAATCGATACAAACGTTTGCGCATTGAGTGATCCGAGCAGCTGAAGAATGCAAGTTCATGCCTTCAGAGAGAGACGGCCGACTTCCTGATCAATTCATCATTGGGATCAATGATTGTGCTGTTCTGCGTGCCATTCTTCGGGGATAAGATGCGTTGAGCTTTGACGATTGTGTCAAGACAGCATCTGTGATTGTACAAACTAGATTAGATGCGGCATGTTTATCTGTAAATAAAGAAGTAAATGCAAGTTACCGAACAACTGGGACTGTAATCTCAAATGATATGATAATGAAAAAGAAAGAAATGCAATGTTTCAACTGCCAATCATTGAATAACTTTGCACGTGATTGTACCTCCTTATGCAAGAGATGCTTGCATAAACATGCTGCGAAGGACTGCTACAAACGTCGACAAAATCAGAGAAACTTATACGGGACAAATTCGCATTAGATATTTCTACAAGAACTCGTCCCGAAACAATACTATTTTTTATCGACTTGGTAATAAACGGAAGAAACTCTACAGCGCTTGTAGATACTGGTTGCTCGCAATCAATCATCACCAAGAAGTTGCTGCCATCCACAATTCACTAACTTTAAATTAATAGTATTTTTTTTCTATAAACGCTTTTATCTTGGAATTAAAAAAATATAAAAGAACTATCTTTCTTTGTTAAATAAATATTTACATGAAACGAAATAAAAATAAGCATTATTAAAATATTTTAAATGATTTTGAATCACTTTTCTATTTTTTGCGAAAACCTGTCTTGGGCCAATCAAGATTTAATATTTTAAGCTACATGCTTGATGATTGAAATTTTATATACTTATAAACGAATGTCTATTTAATCAGATTTTTGGAAGGCACAGATAAAAAAAATAGTTTTAGTTAGTTTTTTAAGAATTATTTTTTTTGTTTTTACTTGTTTTATATGAAAAACGTTTAATTTTTGTTATGCCCTCCAAATTATTGAAATTTCAACCCTCTATGCACCTGAAAATCAAAAAAATTACTTTCTGTACTTCTAACTAAAACGTCTTCAACCTTGGTAAACTTTGTTGCTTTTAGCAAAAATTTGTAGTTTATAAGCGTAATATTTTTGTTTATGTTTTAAAGCAATGACGTAACTTTAAATGCGTTAATTCCCAATTCACTATGTAATTAAATTTATTAAAACAGCTTTTTTAGCGAGACAAATTTTAGTGTATAAATAAAAAAAACATTGGCGGTTTTTTTTCTCTCGTGGCTAATCTACAAACATCAGATAAGTTGTTAAATCCTCTAATATCTATTGCATACTTGTTATTTGTCAATAATTATTATTTGATTTTATTTGTTTGTATTATATTTGTATAAAGAAGTTTATTTATCACTATGCATTCTAGTGAAAGCGAGATACTAATACTATACATTGGATGCTTTAAAGCTTAAGAAGATGCTTTAAAATACATTGGATGCTTTAAAGCTTGGAAGCTTTAAAGCTTAAATACATTGGATGCTTTAAATTTTTAGGTATTAAGCTTTAGTTTTAAATTTTTTAACATTTAAGTAAAATTTTTTTGTTTTTATAATAGTCCAACAATGTGTATATTTAATAATAATTATCGAAAATATATTCTTTCTGAGTTATTTTTGATAAAAAGTAACATCAAATTACTAATATTAAACCAAGTTCAACATTTGCCGCGTTTATTCTAAAATTAAAGAAGTTTTTTAATATATCTGTGAAAGCCATCAAATAAAACATTTTATTGGTGTTTTTATTCTTTTTACAGAACAAAATTACCTCTAATGTTTCAAAAGTTATAAAAGTTTTAGTAACACCCCTTACGTGAATATTTTCAAAAAACAACAAGAAGCCGTAAAGCTCGCTTGAAACAGCCGTGGTGATGCAAGTTCGCTGGCAAAAAGAGTTGTAATAATGCAAGGTGACAAAAAAATATAAGATGCAACTTGGCTTCGATCAAAGTCTGATGCAATGCATATTAACATGGCTGATTTGGATGCATGTATTAAAGGTCTTAATATGGCATTGAAATGAAACTCAAGTGATGCTTCTATCAAAACTGATTCTCATAGTGTATTTAGTTGGTTAAATTTTGAATTGACTCGTGACAAACCTGTAAAAAGTGCTAGGCAATGTGAAATGCTAATTCGACGAAGGCTTCAAATATTTGGAAAATTGGTCGAGGATTATGTCATAAGTGTAAATGTTACATGGGTACCTACAACAAAAAATAGCGCAAACTCACACGAGTGCCAACAAAATGGATAAAAAACAAAGTTGCGACGCAAGAATGAAATGTCATCTATAAGCATGATCATCAGCAGTTTATAAAAGTTCACTCAATAGCACACATGGGAGTTTCCAAGAGTATGAAGTTATGCTCGCGTGCTGGTATCCACGTTAGCAGAGACACAATGAAACAAATTGTAGCTGAATGTGATGAATGCAATTCAATTGATCCTAATGCGATTTCGTGGGATAAAGGAAATCTTGCTGTCAGCAAAGTTTGGGAAAGAGTAGCCTGCGATGTTACTCACGATGTTTCATTGCTGTATCTTACCTGTATTGACTACGACGTAAGCAGATACACGTTGTGGACACCATTAAACGACGAAAATGCAACAACCATTGTTCAATCGCCAGAAACAACATGCTCGAATTGACACAAAAGTCTCTGAAAAAGTGTCAAGGACGGAAAGTTGGCGATAAAGTGTGGATGAAGCCTAAGCATATGACGCCGTGTACACAGCGATGGTTAAAAGGAAGTATAGTAGAACTGCAAAATGGTTTAACAACTGAATTTGAAGTCAACGGACATACGTTGCCACGACATTTTTCACATCTGCAGCATCGTCGTGTAGACAAAAACGAAGAAGATTTAACATCTGATGATGATTACAATCCACCACTGGTTAAACCTCCCGACACGAACTTAAAACACGTCGCAATCGAAGATCCAAGTTCTCAGATAAATTCCCTGGACGACGACGAAGATGACAATAGTATGCACCGCGCCGATCAAAACTATCCAACAAATTGTGAGACAGAGTTACAGCCTGTTCAGTTCACTCGCTATGGGAGAAGAGTACTTCCTAACCAGAAGTATCAAGATTATGTATGAGCTTTTTTTGAGCTGGGGAAGATGTTGGAAATGGCTTCTAAATGAATTAAACCACAATATCATGTAGCTTCGTGGTACTTCCAGGGCTTGACATACATCACCCAATTGAGGGTGAAAAATGAGTTCCATTGATTCGAGGTTATCAATTATTGGATGAGCTTGAAAATTATAAACTAAGAAAACAATTTTAAGTCCTTTCTTTTTAAATTGCCATCCATCCAACTTTTCTTCTGACTACGATTGCCGCCAAGTTACAAACTTTGAGTTTAAAAAGCAAATATTCACGCTGTACACTTAAAAAATAATATTCAAAAAAGTTTAGCAAAAAAATGCAACACAATGTCTTCCTTAAAGTATTTTATGTTTTATATAAAAATGACTTTTTAAAAAAAAATTTAATCAACATGTTTTGATCATTATTTCCCATACAAAAAGTTTGAGTTATCCGAAGAAATTTGCCGAAGGTGGACAACAAAATGGTTCGACTCAACGAAGTTCGAGTTATCCGATGTTTAGAATTTTATTATTATTTATTATTTTTAATATTATTTGTGTTGTTCTAACACAAACTTATGTTAAGAAAATTAAGTTAATGTTATTATGGAAAGATACTTTAAAGTTTGACTTTATCGTTGGCGTTTTATTTTTTTTAAATTCGTTTATTTACGTTTAGAAAACTTGAAACCTAGTGCTTATAAAAGACACAGAGGAAGTTTGCTATTGTTTTGGAGTTTTTGCCTTGGATTCCAAGCCCTTAAAGTCTTAAAATCGCGTTTTAAATTTGCAACTCATTAATTTTGGGTGAAAGATTTTATTAACGTGGTAAAATCTTTTTATCGAGAAAAGCACTCATTAATTAAGTCAAGTTTCATACCGAATTAATTTTCATTAGATTAGATTATTTTGATATCTAATCCATAAAATATTTTATAATTATATTTGAAAATAAATTTATATTATACCTTTAATGACGACGATCTAAGAATCAATGGGTTTGCCATGTTAGCATCTAACGGTTTCGTCATGTTACTTGATGAAACTAGTTTTAAACTAGTAATTCTGGCTTTCTCATTTTCAACGAATGTATTTGAAAGGAAACAGTGGAGCGAACTTGTACCATAACATATTTCAAATTTAAATAAACATAATTTATCGCAAAAATATTTTGAACAACAATCTCTTTTATAATCACGACCAGCTGATCCACTAATATTAAATGTTTCAAGATAGATCTTTACATTAAACGAGGACTCAGAAAACTAAAAATTATTGATTTTTATCATTATAACAAACAATGTATATATATATATATATATATATATATATATATATATATATATATATATATATATATATATATATATATATATATATATATATATATATATATATATATATGTATATATATATATATATATATATATATATATATATATATATTTTTTTTTTTTTTCGAACATCGCATTAGCAATAAATTTGTAAAAATTTTAATAAAAATCACAATATTTTTATTCTTGACATGTTTCGTAGTCTTACTACATTTTCAAAAGCTTTAATTTACAGATAAAATTCTGGTAAATAAATTTAAAAACTGGAGACAATACAGAGAAAAAATTAACGGACAAATAAACTTGTTACAAACCAATTAAAAATTATATTACAAATTATGACAAAATGAACTTCTTAAGCATCTTAGAAAGTGAATCTTTTATTTTATAAATTAAAAAACAGTTTTTGCATAAAAGATCCACTTCCTAAGATGCTTAAATCTAACGTTGTCTACTTCTTGAGCTGGCTGTAACGCCAGTTATATTGGAGAAACCTCCAGACATTTGACAACAAGGATAAATAAGCATTTTAGGAGTGACAAGCAATCGCATATTTTTAAACATTTAAATTCATTTATTAATTGTAAAACACTAACTAATTATGATTGCTTTTAGATTTTAGATACTGCCTCTACCTTTAACAAATTAAAAATAAAAGAAGCACTTCATATTAAATGGGAAAATCCTTCTTTAAATAAACAAACATCTCATTATATTATAAATTTATCTATCTAACTTACTATATTATTACTATTATTATTGCCATTATTGCTATTATTATTAGTATTAATATTTTAATATTAGGAAGTTCATTTTGTCATAATTTGTAATATAATTTTTAATTGGTTTGTAACAAGTTTATTTGTCCGTTGATTTTTTCTCTGTATTGTCTTCAGTTTTTAAATTTATTTACCAGAGTTTTATGTGTAAATTAAAGCTTTTGAAAATGTAGTAAGACTACGAAACATGTCAAGAAATAAAAATATTGTGATTTTTATTAAAATTTTTACAAATATATATATATATATATATATATATATATATATATATATATATATATATATATATATATATATATATATATATATATATATATACATATATATATATTTTTTTTTTTCAAAAATTTAAATACCAACAAAATTCAAATATCAACAAATCCAAATGCACTTTCTACAATCTCTTTACCTTGGATACCATTATTATCCCCAAAACTTAGAAAAATATTTCGGAAAGCTGGTTACAGCACTATTTTTAAATCTAATCATAATTTAAGGACTCTACTAACATCAAAAAACAAATCGAGGCTACCGGACAACAGTAAACCTGGAATTTATTGAATTGAATGTAATTGCTCCAAAGTGTATGTTGGTGAAACAAAATTACAAATTAGAACAAGATCTCAACAACACCAAAAATGTTAGATCGAAGATAAGTATTATCAGTCGTGTATAGCTCTTCATAAAAAAGACTGTAGAGAAGAAATTAATTGGGATAAAGTTAAAACACTTGAAGAAGAATATAATAAATTTGATTTGAAAGTTCGTGAAGCATTAGAGATTCAAAAACATTAATGCCCTCCAATTTATGGTGGAATAAACTTAGATAACAGACAATACGTTAAAACTAAATTTTGGACTCCATTTTTTGCATTCTTGCGTCAAAGAAGCCGTTCTAACGCTGACGTCAAAGTTTAACTTTTGTAATTTATTATAACGGTCCATAATTAATCTTATTATATGATTATATGGTGTCATCAAGGCACACAAACCAACTAATAACTACCCAATGCAAATTATAGTAAGCACAATAGGGTCACCTACATATAAATTATCCAATTATTTAGTTAATCTCATTCAACCTACCTCCAATCTAAACAAAACAAAACTTTGAAATTCAAAACAATTTGTTGAATGTGCTCAAACATGGTATATTGATCCTGGTGAATTTCAAGTTTCCTTCGATATTGTTAATTTTTACCCTTCAATACCAGTTGAAGAATCAATCTATATTCTATTAGAACAACTCCGTAATAGTTCTGTCTTTAATTCAAAATTATCGTTTTCAGAAATAAAAATACTTTTAGATTTGTGTTTATCAAACTGTTATTTTTTACATGAAAAACAACATACACACATTAGAAGATGCCGGTCCTATAGGTTTATCAATAATGGTAGTAATGGCAGAGAGTTTTCTGCAACATTATGAAAAAAAGCTTTAATACAGGCACAATATCTTACACCACCAATATGTGTAAAATCATTTAAAAGGTATGCTGACAATATCCATTCCCGTTATAATAATGAGGCAGAATCAGAACGTTTTCTTGACTTGTTAAACAACCAACACACAAGTATCAAATATACAATTGAAAAAGAAAGTGACTCACACACAATAAATTTTCTTGATCGCTCAATAACAAATAACAAATCTGGAACATATCTTTTTAATATCTATCGCAAAAATGCAACAACAAATGTGCAAATAAAGCCGCATTCTTGTCACGATCCAAAAATAATTTATAGTGTATTTAAAGGTTTTATCCAAAGAGCTTTTGCATTATGCAGTAAAGAAAAGATAAATCACGAATTAAAGTTTCTTACAGAAATGTTTATAGAAAATGGTTATAAAAAAAATACTTCAAAACATTGTCAAAAAAAATTAAAAACAATAAACAAAATAATTAACAAAACAACAACAATAACATCAAAAAACTAGAACTTAACTATATTTCTCGCCATGGGTACCAAAATTAAGTAACCAATTAAAAAAGGTATTTAAAAATGTTGGCTATACTTCAGTTTTTAAATCACTAAAAAACCTTCAACAATTATTAACTCAAAAAAACAAGCCTCAACTTCCCAGCAACTCTTATCCAGGAGTTTACAAACTGGAGTGTTCGTGTGGAAAACTCTATGTTGGTGAAACAAAACTCAAGGTTTCAAATCGCATTTACCAACATCAAAAACATACTTTTAAGGGAAAATGGAAAAATTCAGCTGTAGCGGGGCATTCCAGAAATTGCCAAGGTGCCTTTAGCTGGAATAAAAACAATACTGTTAAAGTAGAGGAAAACTATTTTAAGAGAAAAGTGAGAGAGTCTTTGGAAATTCAGTATCACCAGTGCTCTCCAAATAAAGGTGGTTTAAATAAAGACGACGGCGATTACGTCACGTCGTCGTTTTGGAAACCTTATTTTTCTTATTTAGGACGCAAGAACACATTAGATTGAAGTTTTATTATTTGTTTATTTGTTTTTTAACGGTTTTTTTATATTACTTGAATAACGAGGGTATATATAACCCCTAGAAATATTGTACTTTATTATAAAGAATTATATAAGGATAAGTTTACATACTATAACAGATGTTTTAACTTAATTGAATTATATAAAAACTTATCTAAGATGTTAACTTTTAAAAATTATAACGGTCATAAATGTAATTTTTAATTACAATAATATAGCTGATGATGCTGGTAAATATAATCCAGCGAAAATTTCAAATAAATTACCAATAGTATTGAGAGAACTTGTATTAATTGTTTTTTTTTAATATTTTTTAACATATATACTCTCATACAAGATGTCAACATTTAAATCATATATATATATATATATATATATATATATATATATATATATATATATATATATATATATATATATATATATATATATATATATATATATATATATATATATATATATATATATATATATATTAATAGAAATTCACTTAACAAAATTTTTTTTTATTTTACACTGTGTTTCATCAACAAAGACTCATCAGAAATGAATGCATTCATTTCTGATGAGTCTTTGTTGATGAAACACAGTGTCAAATGAAAAATAAAATTTGTTAAGTGATTTTCTACTAATTTATAACTGCTCTGTTCTTTTAAGAACATTGAGCACTCTATTTTGTAGAATACATTTTTAAATTTGTTTAAATATATATACATACATATGTATGTATGTATATATATATATATGTATATATATATATATATATATATATATATATATATATATATATATATATATATATATATATATATATATATATATATATATATGTATATATATATATATATATATATATATATATATTTATAATAAAGTACAATATTTATATATATATATATATATATATATTATATATATATATATATATATATATATATATATATGTTTGAGATAGCTAACTTCCAGACATGGAGCAAACTCCAAACATTTATAAGTTTATACTTATATCAAATAAGGATGGTTTGCAAAAAATTGCGATGATTGGAGCCTGGGAACAAAAAAGCCCCAAAATTTGATACGTACCTGCCCCAAACGTGAGAGCAACAAGTTGATAAAATATTTTTTGTACTATTCTCAACAAGACTTATATTTATCCATAAATTAAAAATTTCATTGTAAAATATTTCAGCGTTCAAAAATTATGACCATGTAAAGTTTGAATCCCCCTCAATTCGAGGGGGTTACAATTTTTATATGGTCATAATTTTTCAGCGCTAAAATATTTTACGATGAAATTTAAAATTTATTGATAAATATAAGTCTTGTTAAGAATATTATATATATATATATATATATATATATATATATATATATATATATATATATATATATATATATATATATATATATATATATATATATATATATATATATATATATATATATATTTAATGAGTTTGATTAATAAGGCTACATATAAATTTTTGTTTTAAATAAATTTACAATATTTCGCTGACCTATAGCGGTCCGCATCGTAAGTTGGAATAAAGACGTTACAAAAAACGTTACAAAACTACAAAAATTAAACCGTCAAAAAAGAAGATATTACAGGCGTAAAATAAAAATAGTTTCAAAAAAATATCTACAAACAAGAATAGAAAATTTAAAGGTGAAAATATAATGA